ACCTGTTTGTATGGAAAAAGAAAATGCTGCAGAACTTACAAGGTTTCAAAGTTACCATGCAGAGTAAAGAGTAGACTAGGCACAGAGCCACCAGCCCACAGGAAAAGGCCACCTTTGCACCTGGGCCTGGCTAAAGGCTCAGCCAGTCTAACCACATTTGGTTGTGTGAGTAAGGGTAGGTAGTGCGGATTCTAAGTCCTGCCCAGATGGATATTCAGGGATTTATGCACAAGGAATTCCACTCTCTTTGGCTTTTGCTTGTGTTGAATCTTTTCTTTAGACAGACCAGCTCCCAGATGACTGACAAGTAAAAATAATTTAGCAGTTGTACAGCAGTGTGTTACATTCTTGGACATTGTCTCTTTCCATGACATCTAAACACAAGCCGGAAGGTGGGTCTTCCCCTAGGCTCCATTCACCTTGGCTTTTATAGCTGGGTGTCAGAGTATTTATTCCCTAGTTGAGAAGCAGTGGACCTCACACATTGTCTTATGAAGTAGACAATACAGGCCTGACTTAAACCCTAGGCAAAGAAGAAATAGAAGTTCAGGGGCTTGGTCGAGGTCACAGGAAGCCTGGGAGACAGAGGGTTGGAACTCCTCTATCAGCTGACCCTGGATCTACACTCACCAATTCATCATTGAAAAAAGGTGTCACTGATTGTTAACCCAAAGCAGCTGGGTACCCTGTGGTCTATTTCTTACTTCGTTCTGGGGCAAATGACTCTGCCAAGCCAAGCAAGCTCAGACTTGTTATTGGCTGGCGGACTCAAATTCAATGTCAACTGTTGCTTTTCTGGTTGAAAATTTCCTGACAGGGTGGCAAAAAGGAAACTGTAAGAGGGTTCAAAGCAGGTGTTGTTTGCAAGCATGAGATCAAGGAAGATTATTAATGTTGGTACCAGAAGAGTTCTGGTGCGGGAAGGGGATGGAGAAAAGAGAAAAACTAGATGGACAGAAAAGCACAGATCCTAGCACAGCAGGAAATACAAGCTTCTTCTTGCCCCTTACCTGAACTTGCATTTCTTTTGAATCCAATACCTGTTACTTCTTCTTGAAGTGTTATCTATGGTTTGTGTCTGTGCCCAGCTCTTAACCTAAGCAGGCAGCTGCCTAACAGATGTTCAGCGACAATGTGAAGATCTTCTCTTTGGCTCATGCCAATATTTTCTCTTGTGCCCCAGAATTCTTGCTCCTTTAGTCAAAGAGACATTCATCAAACTCTGTGCAGCAGGAAAATCTCTATCAAAATCTCCCTTAGCTTTTGTCTCCAGCTCTTCAATAAAATGATCACATCAGAAGTCTTTGTTGAGCAGTTGGTTGAAAACAAAAGAAGCAAAGTATATTCTTGCATATTAAAAATGGCTAGCACATAATTCAACAATAGAAAACAACAAAATCTCTGCCTCCTGAGTGAGTTTCCTTGAGCTCTGGGGGATATGCTATGTTGAAAACATTGAATGGCACTAATTTTCAAATTTTATTCAAAGTTCTTTCTCTTAGCTGCTGCTTCTTCTCCTCCTCCTCTTCTTCCTCCTTTTGTGTGTGTGTGTGTGGGGGGGGGTAGATCATGAACTCAGGGCCTGCACACTGTTACTGAGCTTTTTCTCTCAAGGCTAACACTCTACCATTTAAGCCACAGCAATACTTCCAGCTTTTTCTGAGTAGTTTATTGGAGATAAGAGTCTCACAGACTTTTCTGTTCTGGCTGGCTTCGAACCATGATCATCAGATCTCAGCCTCCTGGGTAGCTAGCATAACAGGTGTGAGCCACCAGGGCCCAGTGATGTCTTAGCATCTTGAGAGAACATCGGTGTTTGCTTTATAGACACAAAACTTTGCCTTCACCAAATACTACGTCAGCCATATTCCCTGCAAGTTTAGTATTTAGTTTTTTGGTTTTTTTTTTTAAACAGCATCTGGTATGTAGCTCAGGCTGGCCTTGAATTTGATATCCTTCTGTCTCAGTCTCTCAAATGCCAGGTTTGCAGGTGTGTACCATTATGTCCAGTGTCTTGAAAGGCTGAGACAACCATTTGTGTTCTGTTTTTGTCCATTTTTATTATTGTATTATTATTTAAAGACTTCATCATTAGCCCGTTCATGCTCGTTTGAAGATGCATAGGACAGACTATGTGGAGATCTGTGGAGACAGGAAGGCGCAGTTCTAGTAGGCCTTGGGTTTGGCTCAGGCTGGGCTACTTAGGCTAAGCTGCAAGGGAGAGGATTGGTAGGGAGAGTTACTTCTTTTTAGCTGGTTATTTTTTTTGGCTTTGGAACTCACCCTGAGCTTTTGTGCTCAAGGCTAATGCTTCACCATCTCGAGCCACAGCTCTACTTCTAGCTTATTGGTAGTTAATTGGAGATAAGAGTCACAGACGTTCCTGCCCAAGCTGGCTTCGAACTGTGACCCTCAGATCTCAGCTTCCTGATTCACTAGGCTATTTCCTTCTCTTTACGTAAGAAAGCCATGTACCATTTAGGATGCGCTGGAGATGGCCTTCATAAACAGATGAAGGAGTTTTGGTTAAGCCCACAATCCCAAGAAGAAGCCAGGACCCCCAGCATTCGTTTGGTAGTTTAGTTCATTAATTTAGTTGCTTAATTCCTTCTCTACTCTTTGTTCTGGTCTTCTGGACACAAGGTGACCTCCTTGGGAGCAGGGGCTATGTCACAGCTGCGTGTTTTCACTGATGGTGACACAGGACAGACACTGGCACTGTCACCTTCAGCGCTTCAAGCTGGCCCATCTGCTGAGAGAAAGTTTGGGTTTTATCTCTCACCTTTTGTGGCAGGAGTGAGAGGAAAGAAGAGAGAAAAGAGAAAGAAAGGGAGCGAACGGTTTACTGCGCGGGGCTGTTTTGATGGTTTTGATTCCATAGTCATTTTGGGAACAAAGGAAAAGTGCTGAGACAAGGCAAAAAGAACGCAGCTGTCCTAGGAAATGCAAGGAACAATACATTTCCATCTGGCAGCATGTTAAATTCAAAAGCACTACCTGAAAAGCAGGCTTAAAAAAACACACACCGGAAACACTTCGAACCCATAATGTTCAAAATTTGCCTTTTCAATTTGACAGTTCTTAAGATGACCTTCAAGGGCAGTCATCTTGGTGAAGGAAAAGGTCTCTGCTCTCAATATACCAGATGTAGAGGTTACATTGTTCTGGGACTTTTCCATTTTTAAGTGCAGCTTATGGAAGAATGATCAAGGCTTTTTAAAATTAAGGGTGTTCATGAGAGTGAGTTTCCACCAGCAATCGCAAGAGGGCATTGGGATTCCCTTTTGTCTTGTGACCTTGACACAACAGAGAAATGAATGAGTCTCCCCGCTTCCACGTGGAATGCATCAGGAAGGGGTACAGTGTGCTATTGGCAGCTTTGGATAAGGTTTTCCATTACTTAAGACACTGAGACCCTCTAATAGATCAGGCATCCAGAGATTCTTAAAAAGTATGAATATGTAACCCTGGCTAGAATCTCCATTTCCTGGAGCCACACCATCAAACATACACGCTCTATACCTTGTAGACCTCATCTTACTCCTTCAAAAAAAGAGGAGGAACGGATGATATTTGAAGTCCTCAAAATGTTTGAATCTACACACCTTTTATAAAGAGCTTTTGAATGTATAAGAGGCCAGACTTGAAACAATTATACATGGAAATCATTCTAGAAATAACTTTTGTGTAATATCAAGAAAATTACTTTTTGGATACTTTGAGAGGAGGCATTTTTCTCAGCTCATTTACACGTTCTCTCTTTTTTTCCCCCAATCAAACCAAGGAGTTATTTGTTGAAGTAAGTTGGCCAAAGTGCCTGATGCAGTTAAGAGGTGAGGTGAATAGAAACCAGCAACCAGCAATGAGCAAGTTAGGGAGCGACTTGACTTTCAAAGAGAAGAGCTCTGAACAATGGTTGTGTCTCTGTTTCGGATAGAATCATATGCTGTGTAGTTGACTTAGAATATGGCAGTGTTTCCCACGTGATTTTTAGAGTATCAGCAATAATAACTTGGCTTTATTGTGTCCTGTCTGGTAGGATTCATATCCTAGGGTGGAAAAACTCGAGATTTAAAGCAAAATAAGAACAACTAAATTTATGCATCCACTAGGAAGGGTCCATAGTTTTGCCACAAATATAGAAGAAGCAGAGCAAACACACCATACATACAGCTCCTCTGGGATGCAAGTATCCGCAAATCATCCAATATGTCGCACGCAAAACAGGAAATCTTTTGTGGCGGCTGGTTGCCACTGTAATATAGCAGATAATTACTGATACTGAATAGATCTAAGTCTACATACATGTGATAGTAGTATTGTGTAGGACTCCATGAGCAAAAGACAACCAATAGCCCCAATCTATGCTACTTTCCCTGGCACTTTACGACTCCTCTGAACGTAGGCTTTGTGGAGATGGGTCAGGAGTGGAACCCATTCTTCCTTCAGCTGCTGATATCGGGCAGGAGGTCTCTAGAACAGACAGAATAGATTCTCTTTGCCTTTCTTTCCTTTTCCAGTTGGCAGGACACCAAAAGAAATAGTGGAGGAACACAAACTAGTAGCTACGACAGCCCATTAAATATGCAAAAGGCAGAGAATGTTGGAGCTCATAGAGAGAGATGTACATCAATTTTGTTTTTCCTCAAGAAAAAAAAATACCCACATTCTAAGGGCTCTTAAAAATGTAGAAAACTTGCCCTGTTATCACGGTTTTTTTGTTTTATGGTTTTTTGTTTTTTTGTTTTTTTTTTTTGGGGAACACCTCTAAACACGCACAAAATAAGACAGATATTACCTACAAATTTCAACCATCGCTTAAACTCTAAAAGCTTTTTTTGTGTTTTGGATCATTTTTGTTTTCCTGGGGAAGGGGGAACTCAGCTATAAAGAAATATTAAAAAGTGTTTCTTTTTTTTTTTTTAGTGGTGATCAGTCTCAAGAATATATATATATATATATATGTTTGTTGTTGCTTGCCTTCCCCAGCTTGTGCTGCTACGGTCGGGTCGTGTGCTCAGGGGTAACAAAGCGGGGTGCTCTCCTCCCTCCCCCCAGCCCCCTCTCAGATGAGCCATTCCTTCTTGCTCTCGTCGATGGTCTCTGTGAAGTTGGGGTCGTTGTTCATGATGGCGGCGTCGGCGCTCTCGGCCGACTCGGCGCCTTTGGCCTCGTTGGTGTGGTAGGTGCCCTTGTGGCGGAACATGTACCGGATGAGGAAGACCAGCGTGCAGAGGATGGTGAAGATCACCACGGCGATGACCCCTGGGGGAGCAGGAGGGGGACCAGAGGTTAAACGCGCCTTGTGCCGCAGCTCCCCCCCAGTCACCCCCCCACCCCCGGCCTGGAGGGGGGACCAGGGATGACACCCCCTGAAGAAGGCCTGTTTTTGCACCTTTTCTACTTTTCTGACTGGCAGCACTTTCGGGACCCCCACTGGGTGGGGGGGGAGTGGGGGTCACCAAGGACCACAGGATGGGGGATGGTGTGTCTCTGAGCTAGGGGCAGAGCCCGGGGAGAACCCCAATAATCTACACACATCTCCTGATCAGAGACTCAGTGTCTGGATGGGTTGGGATGCCAGAAGGCCTGGGAAAGGGCGCGAACGCAGAGGAATTTCCCATCAAACACCAGGAGAGAGGAGATCGCTGACTAGCCCAGGCTCTGAATATAAAGACCCTGAAGAGACAGACTTAGATAAAGGCTATTCAAGATTTGCCCCTCATAAACTTCCAGCCAAAAAAAGAGAGTAAACTTATCATAGTTAGAGAAAGAATTTATACCCAGAATATAAACAGAGCTCCAACAATCCAATAGCAATAAACTGCACTAGTCTTTAGGAAGAGAAAGAAAAGCTGGGTGCCGGTGGCTCAGCACCTGTAATCCTAGCTACATACACTGAGAATCCAGGTTCAAAGCCAGACTAGGTAGACAAATCTGAGAGACTACTCTTTTTATTTTTTTTCCAATTGACCATCAAAAAGCTGGAAGTGGAGGTGTGGGTCAAGTGGGAGTGTACCAGCCTTGAGTTCAAAAGCCAAGCAAAGAGTATGAGGACCTGAGTTCAAGCTTCAGTACTGAGACAAAAAGAAAAAAACATAAGATTTAAGCAGATGTACGTATAGCAATAAGCACACAAAAAGATGCTCGGTGTTTAGAGTGATCAGATAATTTCAGATTGAAAGCACAGGGATTCTGCTAGTCACTCACAAGGCTGGCTAATTAAGAAGACTGACATTAGTGGGTAAGATTGTGGAGCAACCTGACCTCTCAGATATTGACCGTGAGACTGTAAAATGGATCAATCATTTTGAAAAACTGCCTGGCAATTTCTTACAAAGTTAAATATCCACTTTGGATAATATGTAGTGATTGTACTTCTAGGAATTACCAAAGAGAAATTAAATCTTATGTGCATATGGACTTGTGTGAGAACATTTATAGCAGCTTTATCCATAATAGCCCACATCTGGAAACAAACCAAGACTCTCTCAGCAAGTAAGTAGAGAAAACAAATTATTCAATGTACTACAACTTGGTAAGAAAAGTAAGTGGATTATTGGCAAGTTTATTCATATAAAACTTTCAAAGTGTTATGTTTCCTGAACAAAGGAAAAAACAACAGACAATACACTAACTCTGGTTATGAAATTCTGTGTATGTGTGTGTGTGTGTGTGTGTGTGTGTGTGTGTGTACCAGTATGTACCAGTATGTACCAGTACTGGGGCCTGAACTCAGGGACTTGTGTTCTCGCTTAGCTTCTTTTTGCTCAAGGCTGGAGCTCTACCACGTGAGCCATACTTCCACTTCAACTGTGAGCCACTGGTGCCCAGCACAAATTAATTTAATTAATTTATTTTGTCAGTCGTGGGTCTTGAACTCTAGGCCTGGGCGCTGTCTCTGAGCTCTTCAGCTCAAGGCGAGCACTCTACCACTTGAGCCACAGCACCACTTCTGGTGTTCTGAGTAGTTTATTGGGGATAAGAGTCTCACAGCCTTTCCTGCCCAGGCTGGCTTTGAACCTCGATCCTCAGATCTCAGCCTCCTAAGCAGCTAGGATGACAGGTGTGAGCCACTGGCACCTGGCTACACATTTATTTTTATAAAATAAATTTATAATAATAAATTTATAATAAATATTTTTATAAAATTAAAAAAAATTAGAAGACTAGAGACCATGATGAAATTATAGCTGAACTTGGGATACTGTTCTCTAAGCACCTTCCGAATATATTTAAATTTTGTAGCCTTATATATTTCTGACAGGTGTCAACTTTGTTTCTGTGGGTAGAAAAGTGTGGCAGCAGAGCCATGCGGATTGGCGGCCTTGAAAACCCTCCCTATGTTTACAGTGTTAGCTCTTTGCATGAAGACAGGGAACATGCGATTGGAACCAGCCAGAAAGGGCAGGGAGAGAAGCAGATGCTGGGTTACCGGGCTTTCAGTACGGATCTGCACACGGGAGATGGCACAGGCACATCAGCTACTCTGCACCCATCCATGGTGAGGAGGAAAGACCGAAATACTTGAGGCGATCTGGCCTTTTAATTTTCTGATCACTTTTATTGAGATCTGTGAAACCAGACTGGCAAATGTCCCTCCCACGGTGAGAGGGTAGAGTGATGAGAGGCGGGGCAAAGAAACGCCCTGCTCTTCAGTCTCCACTGCCTGCGTGCACGTTCACTTTGTGTGGCTCACCACCGTCATTCCGCGTTCCACCAATCAGCCATAAACAAGCAGCCAGGTCACTATGCATAGTTTCTCCACAATCTCAGGCCACATTTAAATGGCAAATGGATAACACAAAAGTCTTTTCCCCTCCTCTAGACTATTTGATTGGAAACCACCACCTTCCGTAGGTACGTGGCAGCCCCACCAAAAGTCTGTTCTGTGCCTTGCTCACCTCCAATGATGGCTGAGTTTCTGTTGACTCCATTTCTTATAGCTTGGCCTTGTCCTGGGTTATAGGGAAAATCAGCACTGGCTGTAGAGAAAGAAACAAAGGGTCAAGTGTAAGAGTCAAGTACACCGTCACTCCCAAATACAGCACTCGGATACCTGTGTCTTTACACAACTCGTGGACAGTTCTTTTTTTCTCTTTTGGTTGGTCATAGGGCTTGAACTCTGGGCCTGAGCGCTGTCCCTCAGCTCTTCAGCTCAAGGCAAGTGCTCTACCACTTGAGCCACAGCACCACTTCCGGTTTTCTGGCTGGCTTTGAACTGCGATCCTCAGATTTCAGCCTCCTGAGTAGCTAGGATTACAGGCGAGAGCCACCAGTGCCTGGCTTTGTGGACAGTTCTTATTCTCCCAGATGAACCTCTATTTCACAGGCACCCATTGTGCTCATTTCCCACAGCTCTCCGTTCTTGCGAAAGGCTCAGGTAAAAACTATGGTGACTTGGGGGTGTAGTAGAATCTTAGAATCCTGGATGTCCCATTTATACCAACAAGCAAACTAACTTACAGAGTACAACCATCCCTTGGAATGAGGGAGAGATGCATCCCAGGAAACCCAGGTACATGGAGGCTCCGGTTCCTGGTGGCTTGTGTACACATCAACTGCCTGCATTCTCTGGTATACTTGAATCTCTAGATTACTTGTAATGACGACCACAAGTGAATGTTACGTTCTACCGTATTCTTTGGTTCCATTGGTATTTTGAGATAGGGTCTCATTATGTATCCTAGGCTGGTTTGAGACTTGCTTCAGAACTTTTTATATTCTCCCAATTCTTAGCTGGTGAAGACTAAGGAGACCTTTGATATTGTTCATTCATTTGAATGGGTCCAATCTCAAATCTAGATAGCTAGAGAAATAAGGAAATGCACATAGTTATCTACCTTCCATTGGTGCTCTCTCCCTTTCCCCCTCAGGATTGTCTAGGCTAGACAGCACAATGGATGCGGAAGAATCCAAGTGTCAGCCCGGAAGGCAAACATGTTCCATTTCTAGGCTTGTATTTTCAATTGGTCATGAAACTATCCTAGGTGAATAAAACTGACTTACATCAAAATAGATAATTGAAACACTTCCTTTCTTCTTTAAACTCAAGGATCTTCAAAGGAGTATTATTTAGTCGATGTGATCCATTCATCCACACACACACATTCACGAAACCTTTTTTGTCCAAGACCAGGACTTGAATTTGGTACCTGATGCTTTTACTCACTGGCTGGCATTTTACCACCTGAGCCATACCTCCAACCCCTCATTCACTAAATGATTACAGAATATCTACTATTTGCCAGAGTCCATTCTAAATAGGCACTGTGAGCAACAATTAAGCAGAAATATTGTATTAATGAGGATTTTCCTGCCCTGCCACACAGTGTGGTCTGCTTTCAGTTTATTTTGGGTCGGGCCTCTGGGCGGGAAAGTCCTGCGAGAAGAGAGAGGAACTTTATTTCATCCATAATGAGTTTGAGGTGCTTATAGGACATATTTAACATTTGGATACTTTGCAAGTGGCTCCCGTTTCTCATTTCCCTTTTATTTTTTTTATTTTTTTTGTCAGTCGTGGGGACTGAACTCTGGGTTTGTGTGCTGTCCCTCAGCTCTTTAGCTCAAGGCTAGCACTCTACCACTTGAGCCACAGCACCACTTTTGGCTTTTTCTGTTTATGTGGTGCTGAGGAATCAAACCCAGGGCCTTATGTATGCAAGGCAAGCACTCTACCACGGAGCCACCTTCCCAGCCCTTTTAAAAGACATAGGATCCTCTTGACCTTCTGCATACAATATGACCTTTCAAAATAGGTGAAGTGTAACGACAAAGATTGTAGTGTCGTCCTGGGATCTAGTGTGTGATTCCCTGTGACATGTTGCCTTCCTGCCTTGGTGAGCATGGAGGGAGGGGCATTGGAGGGTTTCTCTGTGGCCCAGCTCTCCCTTGCAGTAGTGTATTGGTGTTAACTACCAAACTACAGGAAAAAAGAACAAACATGCAGATGCTTGAAGATATGGCTGGCTTTCCCTCAATTTCTTTGATGTTACTGATCCAAAAGATGACAGAAGATTTGGAAATAGTAGAAGTGATTGCAGAAGAGGTGGCCCCAGGAGAATGACAAGAGCTACAGGAGAGCATTTCAAAAATGCCCCAGGATTACCTCGGGTAGAAATGTGGCCTCCTGGGCCTGGGGACAAAAGGCTTCTGCAGACAGAACCTCACCTGTGGCTTCCTCTCTTGGAATCAATTCTCCAAGTCAGTATTCTGGCTCTAATAGCTTCTGGATACTGCAAGTCAACAGATCTTTGCCTATCCAGATGATGCCCTCTGCCTAGACATCTGGTTTACCTTTTCTCTCATATCTCACCTCTTCCTTGAAAGTATGGTCATGGTTAGATGGCCAGCCCTCTTTTTCTTTCTAATGGCTCCAATCTTAATTCTTCTCTCTTCTTACGTGGTAGCCATCCTCTAAAAGTCAGGACCCATCTTAATTATGTGCCTCTTTCCAATGAGTAATTGTGTCGTGGTAAGGGCAAAATGAATGAATATTCATTGACTGGTAAAATTCAAATCAGCGGACTGGGTAGACATGTATGTAGCCTCTTCCCTAGGATTTTTTATGATGCAAATATAATTTTAAAAGTCAGCTGCCTCCTCTCAACTAAAACCTTAAAGCAAGATAGCATTCTTATTCTTGCCAACAAAAGAAATAAATGTATCAGTCAGATATGAAAGGTTCCTTGTCCTCCAGACTTCCGTTGTTGTTAGAAAATAATTAGTGGGAACCCTTCTAGTTGAAACACAAGTACTCAAGAAATTCAAAAGCAGAATTATTTTTTAACGAGTGTCTCCTTTTTTTTCCATGGCTTTATTTGTAACTTAAGCCTGGCTGTCTTAATGCATGTGAAGTCTTACCCCCTTGGGGCAAAGCTATTTCATTCTTGCAGTCAGAGCGATTGCTATTTTGATGGATAGAGTCCGCTGTGATGGTCCTTTCTCCTGGGTACCAACATCCTTTTGGAAATTCACATAGAGAAATACAGTGACCAAGAGAATGGTTGAGGCCTGAGGGCAAAGCCTGTTTGTGGCAGGGGATTCTTTCCATGCTCCCCACTCCCAGGTTGCCGGGAGAGACAAGTGATTTTTGTGTACTGGGGAAAACATGGCAAGTACATCCAGATTTGGAGTGTTCATTCAAAACAGACTAGGAAGACATTGACAAATCTCAAGACCAAACTTGCATCATGGAAACACAAACTATATTCAATACATTTCTCTTGGAGATGGTCAAATAATCCTTAGAAGATGATAGAATCATCACCTCAATAGCCACCAAGCGTGGCACAATTCCAGCTCCAGTTCAGTGCCTCCCACAGTGAGAGCATTTCTGTACATTCTCCTTGCTTATGTCTTTCTGTGTGGTCTCCAGTATTATACACATAGATGTTTCTTTATTTTATTCTTTCCCTTCCTTCCTTCCTGCCTTTTCCTTCCTTCCTTCCTTCTTTCTTTCCTTCTTTCCTTCCTTCTTTCTTTCTTCTTTCTTTCTTTTCTTTCTCTTTTGTCTGTCGTGGGGCTTGGATTCGGCCTGGGCGCTGTCCCTCAACTCTTCAGCTCAAGGCTAGCACTCTACCACTTGAGCCACAGCACCATTTCCGGCTTTTTCTGTTTATGTGGTGCTGAGGAATTGAACCCAGGGCCTCATGCATGCTAGGCAAGCATTCTACCTCTGAGCCACCTTCCCAGCCCACTCATAGATATTTCTTACCTTCTTCCCCTTCCCTCCCCAACACAGGACTAACAGAAGCCATATTTGGAGAATTGATGGTGAGAGGTCCCCCCGCCCCCCCCCCCCCCCAGTAGGCTTAGTAAACAACTTGGCAAAGGCTTCAGAGTGTCTCTATGCCTGTACCACCCCGTTCCCCACACAGAGACGGCAATGAATTCATGACAGGGCCCCAAAACATCACGCTCACATCCGGGTCCTGCTTCCTGTTGTCTTTGTCCTTCATAGGAGAAGCAAGGTGACAGGCTCATAGCTGGTGCACCGCACCCTCCCCTCCCTCTCCCCCCCTCCCCCATTCCATTTTCATTCAAAACCAAACTAAAACAGAAATAACAACCCCACATACTGTGTTAGAGAAAGCCTAGCAGAAGTGATTCCTTATAATTACACAGATTGAGTAGAGTGATTAAAGATGAGGAACTGGACACTTATTTCCTCTCCAAATAGTAGAAAGGACAGCTGTTTTAGTCTAGTTCTAGCTCTTCCTCACTTCGTGCTGGAAAGGTGTTAGGAAAGCAAGATGATGGCCTAGATAGCTCCTCCTGCATCTGGGTGGGGTGGGGGCTGAGTGTCATGTGCTTTCTCAGCAGCCTAGACAACCAGGACCCTCGAATTCCAGGAACAAGGTCTGAACTCCATCAGCAACAAAGACCCACCCCTCCCCAAGTCCCATTCCAGTTGTTTCCATGTATTGCATGTTAGCACTCTAACTTTCAGGACTGCATGCAACAAGTCACCGCTAGATGACTGGTGTTCTCACACGTCAGACTCTCTAGGGCCCAGTTGGAATCTGAAGTTCTAGGCCTGTAACAACATTTCAAGGCTAAATCGAGCAAGGGGCAGAATATCAGACAGTTATGTGTGGTAAAAATCAACCTATTTGCATAAAGTTCTTAAAAGTAAATTAACATGACATTCCTGTTTCTAGAACAATCTGTTTAGGAAGTCATCATAGCCAATCCCTATGGCCCTCTGTGAACCTTGTGAGGTTAACAGTTCATCTCATTTTGGAAGAACAAGGATTTATTTGAGATGATGTGATCAGAAAGTGGTGGAGCCTGGGTTTGAACTTGGATGTTGATTCCAGAAAACTTCACACTTAGCAGAACTGTCTCTGATTCTAGGACTTGATCGACACTGGCTCTGTGAATTGATCAGTAATAAAGCATGGTCTTAAGGCCATCAACCGGAAGCGAATTGTCTTCTCTGAGCTTGATGAGCTATCTGCAGAGGTGGATACATTGTTTTTTT